ATAGGTTATATACGAAAGTATATTACATTCTCCCCTCACAAGTGGTTTCAGGGTCAGGAACCAAATAATTCTATCTTATTATTATTGATGTGCGGTGTATATTTTGATTAACACCATAACGCACAAAGATGGGTTCTCAAAGTTGAGGAAACAAGTTAGCTTTTCTAACATGAGGGGGAGACAAGATACAACAGTTGAGAAAAAGTTACATGGAATGAATTATCATTTATACATCTAGATCCTCGAATAAAATAATATGAACTTGAAGTTCATAAAAGGATAATTCATTTGCAATATATTGCAAAGCATGCCAGACGCATTTGCTGACCCAAAGAAAGTAACTATATTCTCATTGCAAATGCTCGGTTTCAAATAAACTTCTTGGTAAAGAAGATGAGCAAATGATCTAAATGATCATAACAAAGGAGGCAAGTGATCTAGAAGATCACATGACATAACACTTCATAAAATCTCAAGAGAGATTGTACCTGAAAATATGAATGAAGAGATCTCTATATTATGTCTTTATGAAAAATAAGGAGGTTGGAACCGATATAAAATGTTTGTCGACGACATTGATTATAGCACTAAATATATATGAGGATCTTAAGTCTGGAGATACAATTCGAATAGAATTGGTTTCATATGAAAGACATGTAGTTCAAATACTTGAAAGTATAAAGTCAATGGTATGTGCAATCAGTTTTCGTTATCTTATATGTCTAGCATGACATGAAAACTTGATATGCATCTAATTAAAGTCTATTATATGACTTAACTTATATGCCAATCCTTGAAGGATTTAAATCGCTTAAAGCATATACAATTCTTGGTCCTGAAGTACCATATCCTAAATGCAATTTGTGCACATATGTATCTTGCTATAACTATAAGCATGATAAGGTGATAACGAGAATACCTCTATGGAAATATTGAAAAGTTATTACACGACATTATATGAAGACATTACATCTCTATCAAGAATGATGATTCAAGGTGCAATGCATTCATTCAAGTTAATATGGCTGATTTGTTCATCAAATCTCTACCAAAGATCTTTTGAAGATGGTGCACAAGATTGGAATGCAAATGCTTAAGGATGTGAATTGATGCTCTTATTATGGGGAGTTAATACGCGTTGTACTCTTTTTTCCTTACAAGATTTTGTCCCACTGGGTTTTCCTTGCAAGGTTTTTAACGAGGCAACCAAAAGGCGTATTGTTAGATATGTGTACTCTTTTTCCTTCTCTAGAATTTTTTTCCTACTGGGTTTTATTTTAGTTAAGGTTTTAACGAGGCACATTATCTGTTGAATAGACATTCAAGGGGGAGTGTTATAAATAGAATTGTTTTTATGGTGAATGTCTATATTTAGAGAGATTCTAGGGTTCATTGCTTGGTGGCTAAGTCTCCCTCTCCCTATAAATAGAGGATTCTATTCCATTATAATTCATCCCAAATCAATAAGAATTCTCTCCCTCTACTTTTTTCTGCAATACTCTTCTTCTTCTTTTATTGAATATTTACATTTATGTTGTTGAAAGAGCTACTTGAGGAGTCAAATTTCGGATAAGTAAAGCAGATGAATTTTATTTCGGCAATCAATCTATCGTGCATCTATTATTCTACGGGCCGGAGAATCAAACACGTTGAGATTGATTCTCACTTATAAATATGACAATGCAATCGGAGTTTATTTACCAGACCAATTTTGTTAATGTGTTTGATTCTCACTTATAAATATGACAATGCAATCGGAGTTTATTTACCAGACCAATTTTGTTAGCACAATGATCAACTTACAAACCCATTCACCAAACAGCAATTTAGGGACCATGTTCATATTTATATGTGGTTTGTATATTCCAACTTGAGGTGGAGTATACCATATGACCAGATCAATTAGTACCATTACAGGAGAGTATTTTCTAATTCTCCATATGATAATCTAGTATATTCTATATTTAGTTTAAGGATAATTTGATTACTTGCATTATTAGGTGTTAGGTATACATTAATAATCTGTTGTGCGTGTCTTAAACTTTTACAGAAAGAGCTCCTCTCTTGTATCGCATTGGCCAAGCAGGGGCGCATCCACCTTGCGACCTATGAGTTCACGTGAACCCAGTAACTTTTGCTCAAAAAGTGCAAATATGTTCAAAAAATTCACTAAAAAACTATAAATGTTTGAATGTGACAAGTTACCATTGAATATTTACTCGATATCATTGCAGGAACCATTAACATTAAATTCTGGATCCGCCTACGTGGCCAAGTACCCTTTGATAGAAAATTGGCAGTAATTGAACAAAAGACAAGAAAATCCTCAAAACAGAGAAATGAATTTTTTTACTAAAAGGGAATGACAAGAATGTCATGCAAAGGAACAGTCGTTGGTACCCACTGAAATATAAGTACTATTTAAGAAAATAAAAAGTAATACTCCCACTATCCCTAAAAGAATGAGTGTGAATATAAAGGTCGATGCATCTAGTTACATATGTTATTTATTTTTAACATTAATTTATATAGGGTTTATTTTTTAATTATCTTAGATGCCTTTTTCCTTTTATTTTCTTTAAACAACAAATTCAAAATGCCACTAATTATCCTTACAAGGCATATTTTTTTCATTGGAACTATTTTTCTTATGTAGCTAAAATTATAAGATTTTATTTCGTTAATTGTGTACTTTTTGGTCCTTTTGTTCAATTTGACAGCAAAATATTCTCTTTCAACTAGATAGTATTTGACATGGTAGTTCCCGTCTTTATGTGAAGTTAAAGGGGATATGTCAAAATCCAACTGTCAAAATAATGCTCTGATATAAAACTTCTGGATTCCCAAATCAGCCTGCAGTTTCATCCCTAATCCTACAATTGATGTTTGATATTACAGATGTAAATAAGCAGAAGAGAGTAGCAAAAAACTACCAGGCTGTGAGTGTTCATACAACAACTATGTCTTAATCCCAAGCAAGTTATGGTCAGCTATATGTATCTCCTCAATAACCATGTCGCTCCATTTAAACTCATCTCAAACTAACACGAGTATCCATCTATAATAAATAAGAAAAAATTCCTTTGTTGTCTAATCTGTTACCTGCCATGTATGCTTTATGAATTATGCTGACAAACCTGTAGCTTCCTTTGGTATCAAAAAGAGGAAGACCACTGGGATGAAAGTGCAGAGGACCTGAATTCCAATGGCTAAGAAGAGATTGTCAAAAGACCCTGAAGAGATGTTTAGAACCGAAGCCAGCCCTGCTCCTACAAAAGATCCCACTGTCATTCCTAAGTTGTTTATCGACATGAATAATGCAAACAAAGTCCCTTCAATGCCCGGAGGACAAAGTTGTCCTGATAAGATGAGAAAGGGCATGAACCTGCAACAAGAAGAGAATACTTCAAATGCTTTCTGACAAATATGGAACAACAAATACTCATGTTTTATACTTAACAGATGTTAGCTGCTTCAGATGTTCTATAACTACTTTGAACAAGAGATATATAAGAAAATTGTTGGACATACTTGAATTGATTGATGCCGTCAGAAAGAGCAGACCCAAAAAGCACTGCAACCTTGTCTGATATACCTAATAAAACATTAGCTCGAGAAACCAGAACCATATCTAGAACAGTCAAAAGGGCCACACCTACTTGAGTAAACCTGCATAAATTATAAATAGGAAAATAAAGTGATTTGATAATCTAAGTCAATATTCCTTCACATCACATGTACAAGTCAAAGATCTACTTACATGAGAATATATCGCAACCTCATCTTTTTTAAATAGCGATTGTAAGTCAAGGTCCCGATCATGAGGCCCAACCATCCAAGAACACGTGCTGTTCCAAGGAAAGATGCGTCCAATTTTAAGAACTCTGTCTGATAGTAGAACATAACCGTTGAGAGATTTGGAACTGTCACGTGAGCCAAAAAGAACCATGCCATTGGTCTGGACTCCAAGGAACAATTTGCAAGAGAATAACCACCGTAACATCAGTTAATCAAGAAAAGGCAAAAAAGAAATGGTATTATATGCAAAAGGTCAAGAAGATTGGGAGATTACTGAACAATTCAAAACCTCCCATGAGGTCCCCAACTGACATATTGAAACATGGAAGCATGAAACTCAACAAATAGAAGCAACAAAAAAGTGAAAAACTTGGTCAGTGATTTAATTTGTTGGAAGTAATGTTGCCACTTGGATCTTTCTTAAGAAATTGTAATACAAGGCCAATACTGATGAAAGTGTTTTAGGAATTGCAGTTTCGTCGTTTCAATTTAAGGCGACGCGAGTCCATGTTTATGCTAATGAAAGCAGTCCCTTAAAAATTCTATTACTTCTTCCAATATGGTATAAAGATAGAAATAAATGGCATCACCAAGAAATATTTAAAAGGCGAAATAAATAAAGCGCCCCTTTAAGTTGTCCTCAACGATCAACGGAACACCTCAACCGAGGCCATTTCCAGCTAAACACTTTATTTATTCACAAAAGAAGATCAACTAAACACCCGGCCATGTCAGCCAACATTGCGTGAAATGCACTCTCTCGGACGCAAGTTGCCTACCTAAAATTAGGTATTTTCTTTTTTTTTTTCCTAAAATAATGTGGACCCACCTAATTTTCACACCTTCTCCTCCAATTCTCTTCTCCACCATTCAACACCCTCCTCTACCCTAAATCGCCTCTACCTCCATTACCAAATATATGATTTCACCAATTCAACAAATTTTTTTGTACCAAACCCATTCTTCTCTTTCACCTTCTCCACTAGATTATCTAAACAATTGCCATTGTGCCTCTTTAATCTCAACAATAAGCTAGAGATTCTGAGTATGTTTTGGTCATTTGATGGAAGTGTATGGTCACGTATTCTGATTTTATGCATTTTTCTTGGATGCAAACCAGAATTCTGTAACGAGAAGCACCCTTCTAAAGCAAACCAAAAATATTCAAAAAATTCACAACCACACCCTATCTGAAAAGTATCAATAGCAGACCAAAAATTGAAGTGTTTGATTGATACCCATGTTGATTTGATGGCTCAAACATGTTCTCCTCATCAAGGCAAAGAGATTGGTATCGAGTTTGCTCCATTTGGACTGCTGGAACTCCACCTCCGTTCAATTATGTATCACCGGCGATTTGCAGGTCATTGGAGAAGACGATTCCACGGTGGAATTGTCTGAAATTTGGCGGGGAGGTGGAATTTGGTGGAATTGTCTGAAATTGTATCACCAGCGATTTGCAAACCGTTTGATGGAGAATAATCTCCACGGTTTGGAATTTTATTTTATGACCCAGAAATGGAAGCAACAAGTCTCTGTTCTTTCAAATTGTTAGAATAGTTATGTGAATGTATGTAATTAGTCCTAGTCCCTTATGTAATAGGAGTAGGTTATGTGTTATGTATACCTATAAATAGGGCTTATTGTAACATAGAAAATTAATCAATAATATAATTTTCCCGTGTTATATTTCTCACATGGTATCAGAGCGGCGGTGAGAAAACATCCAGGAAAGAAAACCCACCCAAAACAGTCGCCGTGCTTCAATTCCGGCGACCTTTTAGGGCTGTTTTTCGAAGAAAAAAAAACAATTTCCATCGGTATTGTGCAAAAACCAACACCACCACGAGGTAGATCAGCTTCCGGCGACCAACCCGTAAAAATTTCTCCGGCAGAACCCCTCCCACGCGCCCTCACGCGCCGCCGGAAAATATTTTCCGGCGAGTCTCCGTCGTCACGCGCCGGCGCGTGAGGCTTCTTTCGGCCATTTTTTGGCCGAGCTTCTCCAGGACAGCCTGGTCGCACAGCAATTCCGAACCTACCCATACCTTTTTCTTTTTATTCCGATCACTTTGAGATTTTCCGGCAACTACACCGACTTTCCGGCAACTATAGTGATTTTTTTTCCGACAAATCTTTTTTGGACAGCTTACTCAGGAGGTTATTCCGAGATTTTTCATTCAAGTTTAAATCAAATTGAGACCACTTTTATATTCTCCGGCGCAACATTATAATGGTATTCGTATCAGAAGCTTTTAACTCACAATCCGTTGGATCCAATCCAGATGGTTTCGTTACCAGATTATATTGAGTTCCTTCAGTACAAAGCACGTAAACAGACATCTTCAGGATTAGCCTCCGTTGTTCCAACAGATAGTAGCTTGACTTGTGTCTCCCAATCTTCAACCTCTGAGTCTTGGGTCATTGATTCAGGTGCATCTGATCATATTTCTGGTAATAAATCTCTTTTCACTAGTATTTCATATTCTCAATCTCTTCCAACAGTCACAATGGCCAATGGGTCTCAAGCCATGGCAACTGCAATAGGTCAAGCAAGTCCACTTCCTTCCTTACCTTTAGACTCAGTTCTTTATGTTCCTGGTAGTCCTTTTAATCTCATAGCCGTTAGTCGCTTAGCCAAATCACTTAAATCTGCTGTTTTATTTCTTGATGACCTTGTTTTTATACAAGAAGGGCGGATCATTGGTACCGAACGTGAATCAGATAGACTTTATTACCTTATCCTTGCAAAATCGCATGGACTCGCATCTTGTCTTCCTTCAATAACTTGTCCCGTTACTGATTCACCAGATTTACTACATAAACGGTTGGGACATCCTAGTTTGTCCAAACTTCAGAAAATGGTACCTGGCTTATCTCACTTGTCCACTCTAGAGTGTGAGTCATGTCAGCTCGGTAAGCATACCGCTCCCATTTCCCGCAGCTTGATAATCGAGCAAAGTCACCTTTTACTTTAGTCCATTCAGATGTTTGGGATCCTAGTCGGGTCAGTTCTACCTTGGGATTCCGCTACTTTGTCAGTTTCATTGATGATTATTCCAGGTGCACTTGGATATTTTTGATGAAAAATCGATCTGAGTTGTTTTCTATTTTCCAGACCTTCCACGCCGAAATTCAAAATCAATTTGGGGTTTCTATCCGCACATTTCGTAGTGATATGCCCTAGAGTATTTGTCTTCCCCATTTCAGCAGTTTATGAACTCCGATGGGATCATTCATCAAACATCTTGTCCGTACACATCTCAACAAAATGGGGTAGCTAAAAGAAAGAATAGACATCTTATTGAAACTGCTCGTACCCTACTCATACAATCTCATGTTCCGCTGCTTTTTTGGGGGATGCAGTTCTTACCTCTTGCTATCTTATTAATCGTATGCCATCTTCAGCTAGCCAGAATCAAGTTCCATTCTCTGTCCCGTTTCCCGCATTACCTTTGTTCTCTCTTCCACCCCGTGTCTTCGGGAGTACGTGTTTTGTTCATGACCTACTCCAGGAAAAGATAAGTTAGCTCCTCGTGCTCTTAAGTGCATATTTCTGGGTTACTCGAGAACGTAAAAGGGATATCGATGTTATTCTCCTGACCTCTAGCGGTTTCTTATGTCTGCTGATGTTACCTTCTTTGAAACCCAATCATACTTCACAAGTCCAGTTAATCACTTAGACATTTCTGAGGTGCTACCAATTCCGACTTTTGGAGATTCAGTCACAATCTCCCATTCATCTTCCTCCATAGATCTAGTTGCAGCTCCACCACCTACAGCTCCAGTTGCAGCTGCACCACCTATAGCTCAAGTGCCACCACCGAGTCCAGTGCCACCTCCTAGTCCAATTCCACCAACTATAGCTCCAGTGCCACCACCTAGTCCAGTTCAACCTTCTACAGCTCCACCACTGCTGACTTATCATCGTCGTCCGCGCCCAGCATCAGGCCCAGCTGATTCACGTCCTGCACCTGACCCTGCTAATACTGCAGACTTGTCTCCTCTTAGTCAATCGATTGCACTACGAAAAGGTATACGGTCTACACTTAATCCTAATCCCCATTATGTCGTTTAAGTTACCATCGTCTATCATCATCCCATTGTGCATTTGTATCATCTTTGTCCTCTGTCTCCATCCCTAAGTCTATAGGTGAAGCACTGTCTCATCCAAGGTGGCGACAGGCTATGATTCACGAGATGTCTGCTTTACATACGAGTGGCACTTGGGAGCTGGTTCCTCTACCTTCGGGTAAATCGACTGTTGGTTGTCGTTGGGTGTGTGCAGTCAAAGTTGGTCCAGATGGCCAGGTTGATCGACTTAAGGCTCGTCTTTTTGCCAAAGGGTATACTCAGATATTTGGACTCTATTACAGTGATACTTTCTCTCCCGTGGCTAAAATAGCATCAGTCCGCCTTTTTCTATCCATGGCTGCTGTTCGCCATTGGCCTCTCTATCAGTTGGATATTAAGAATGTTTTTCTTCATGGTGACCTTGAGGATGAGGTTTATATGGAGCAACCACCTGGTTTTGTTGCTCAGGGGGAGTCTAGTGGCCTTGTATGTCAGTTGCGCCGGTCCCTCTATGGTCTAAAGTAGTCTCCTCGAGCCTGGTTTGGTAAGTTCAGCACAGTTATTCAGGAGTTTGGCATGACTCGTAGTGAAGCTGATCACTCTGTATATTATCGACATTTTGCTTCAAATCTCTGTATTTATCTGGTCGCTTATGTTGACGATATTGTTATTACCGGCAATGATCAGGATGGTATTAGTAAGTTGAAGCAACATCTCTTTCAACACTTTCAGACTAAGGATCTGGGCAGATTAAAGTATTTTCTGGGTATTGAGGTCGCTCAGTCTAGCTCAGGTATTGTAATCTCAAAACGGAAGTATGCCTTAGATATTCTTGAGGAGACAGGAATGACAGGTTGTAGACCAGTTGACACTTCGATGGATCCGAATTCTAAACTTCTACCAGGACAGGGGGAGCCTCTTAGCGATCCCGCAAGATATAGACGGTTGGTTGGTAATTAAATTACCTCACAGTGACTAGACCTGATATTTCCTTTCCTGTGAGTGTTGTGAGTCAGTTTATGGATTCTCCTTGTGATAGTCATTGGGATGCAGTTGTCCGCATTCTTCGGTATATAAAATCAGCTC